TAATATAGTGAAAGTCATATCTAGGGCTATTTTGTTCTGGCATATATATATATATATATATGCCATATTTATGCCTATATATATGCCTCTCTCTCTCTCTCTCTCTCTCTATATATATATATATATATATATATATATATATATATACTATATAGTATATATACTATATGGAGTATAGTATATATAATATATATTATATATAATATATTATATATGTATATATATATACTGTTTGTATTTCAGATGATAACTTTGCAGGTTTTTCTTGATTTTTCATCACTGGAATAAATCATCAAGAAAAATGGATAATCCATTCTTAGATTTTATTCACTCTTTTATTTAGTGATAGGCAGATGTGGCATTTCAATTAGGGATGTAATTATTATTTTAAATTTAAAACCAACCACTCCAGGCCATCGGGTCTGATAACTGTGTAATTTACTTGGCAAAAGTGAGCTTCCTTCTGAGCATCAGTTAGGGGACTCTCTACTTCTGTAATTTATAACATATTTTATTGTCAGAACTATGCTCTTGTGAGATCAAGCATTTGTCATAAATCACTTGAAAAAATAAACTGAGAAACTTCTCCACTGGATGATAGAAATCCTTTATATTTTAGTGATTATCCATATTATATTTCTTCAATGTAAAGAAAAAAATTGAAGACCACTATCCTTATACCTCTGGTTCTGAGCTTTTTACTTTTTTGACCATGGGCATTTTATGATCCTTAAGCTCAGGGATGCTGATATGTGTGATAAATGTCTCCTATTGATTTGTCCAGCTCAACCAGGGCTGATGCCAAGAATCAATAGCATTCATTTTCCTGATGTTCCTGACCAGGTTCACCATCAAGTCCCTTAATTCTTCTGGGACTGGGGCACAACTCTCACTCAGGCCTTGAATAAGAGGCCTGTTGGTGCCTGTTGTGACTGGGGCATTTGGCACAGTTGCCATATCATTCTTTCTGGATGGGCTCATGTCTTTTCTCACACAAGAGAGCCATGTGAACATACATGGGAGGAGTATGCATGTACATCCTCAATGGGAATCCCACCATTTGGACTTTAGTTGTAGCTGACATGAGTTGGATCCCCAAGAAGCTGGCTGCTGCTTCTCAGCCGCTAGATCTCCAACTCTGCTGTGAAGAGGGTGGTGGAGGTGGTGGCTAGATGAGCAGAGGCTCATCTCTTCCCTCTTTTAGGGTAGACAGGCACAGCGGGAGGAAGCCCCTCAGCTGTGGCTGGGCGCAGGAGGGAGATGCTGGAACTGGATGCCCGATGGCCACTGTGGGCCTGGAGCTGAGGAGGGGTGCCATTTCTTACTGAAGCCCTTCCACAACCAAACTGTCATGCCTCAAATCTAGAGCAATCATTTTATGTAACAGCTGTCACCCACACACCCACCCTTGAAACTCAAGGTGAGAGCGAGAGCTATTTTATATTAAATGTTAAAGATTTCTAACTAATTCATCACCTTTTGGGCAATTTACAAGTTGGTTTTGCTACAGAAATAGCTTTAGTTTTTAGTAGATTGCACAAAAGAGATTTCTGAACTTTTTTCTGCTTGGAAATAATTATGAACACGACTAGAAGTAAAGTTTAAAAAACCAATAAAAACAGAGAATCTTGTTTTATTCGGGGGGGGGGGCAAATGAACCCTTGTACAAAGCAAATGAAATGAATGAGCCAAGAGAGAGTAAATCTGGCATCTTGCTTGGGATGAAGATGAAGATGAGGAGGAAAGGGTGCCTGGGAACCTTACCTCCTGAGGGTCAGGTTTAGATTTGGTGCAAGAATGCAGAATTTTTTCTTCCCCAGGAAACCTATTCAGACCTGGCCTGCGGTTTCCTGGTGTTGCTCTCCTTACTGGGCGAAGTGACCTTGCTAACCACTGTCACAGTTCCCTCACTTCCTTCTCATGACACTGACTGCCCATGCTGCCAGAGGCATGGTGAATCAGTCTTTAATGAATGCACACCTCTTTCGGGATCTGGTTTGTCTGCCACAGTTACAGTCCAGCTTCTTGGTACAGCGCCGCGCACAGGCAAGTGGTCAAGACATCTCTGCTGTTAAACAGAGTTTTAGGCAGTACTTGAACAAGCAAAGGGATTTTCCAAACATGGTCCCTGAGTGCCACCAAGAAGTACCTGTTTTCATACCTAGATCAGAAGCCGACTGGAAGTCATGGCTGAGGTCACTGGAAAACATTTCGACATTGTTGTAGGTAAGTGATATCATAGATGCATTCTTATTCTCTTGGCTTTTTATTTACTTCCTTGCTAATTACATTATTCGATTTTCTAGCAAGTCATCAATGGCTGTATGCTGGGCCATATATCCACTGTCAGCCTTCATAATTGTCTTCCACAGCTTTCCTTTTTTAGTGTGTGCTCCAACTTTTGATTGATTGATTGACCGAGGTGCTGGGGATTGAACCTAGACTCTTCACACTGAGCTACATCCCCAGCCCTTTCTATTTTTTATTTTGAGGCAGGTTCTTGCTAAGGGACTAAATTGCCCTGGCTGAGCTCAAACTTGCAATCTTCCTGCTTCAGCCTCCTAGAGTGCTGAGATTATATCTGTGTCTCATCATGTCCAGCTCCAGGTTTAAATCTAGGTCTTCAGCCTTAGCCAACTCTTACTTCTGTTTTGCCAGGGATCAAACTCATGACCTCACACTTGCCAGGCAGGTGCTGTGCCACTGAGCTGTATCTCCCAGTCACCTCTTACTTCTTGATTCCTTCTGTTAATAAGAGACTTGTTTCCAGGTGGTTAAAACAGAGTTGAGCCACACTTTAAAACATTACAACAGAGAAACAGAGGAACTGACGCTTCTCTATGGCTTTACCTGATTTCATCTCTGCAGCATTTGATACTCGTTTATGTCCTCTTTTGAAACTCCTGGATCATTATGTCAAGGTTCTTCTTTTGCTTTCCCGCCATTTCTTCTCTCCCCTTCCTTCTCCACCCCTTAAGAGCTAGTGTTTCTCCAGATGACTCAGGGTCTTCCTTCTTCTGTTGCTCATATTTTCTCTGTATGTCCCGTGTACTTGTAGCTAAATCAAACATACTCATGAAGCCCAGAGCCAGCTCTCCTGTCCAGAGCTATGAATCCATACTCTAATTTTCAGCTACCTATTACAGGCCCTCATTAATTCTTACTTGGATTTCACTATCATCTCCTAAGTGATTTGCTGACATCTTTTCAGGTCAGCCTGCATATTGCTATCAGAGTTGTTTTCTTGAGACACGTAGAGTCAGCCATTTACCTTTAAAAAATACTTCTTATAGATTCTAGGGCTGCAGAGTAAATCACACCACCGCCAGCACCAACACCATCACAACTGCATTAGTGCTTGATCCATACTGGATATTATTCTGAGCACTTCACCTACGTGAACCTGTGAGGTAGGTGCCGCTTGTCATGGTTTACATCTAAAATGTCCCCACAAAGTCTCATGCCTTCAGAGGTAGGACATTTGGAAGATGATTGGATAATGGGAGTGTTATGGTTTGTGTCTGGATGTCCCCTTAAAACCTCTTGTGGTCATGGAGGGGGGACCTTTTGAAGGAGGCTGACTCCAGCATTTGTGATTGGTGCATTGTCTCGTGCTGGGATTGGCAGTGTGAGCGATGCACTCACCCTGGGGCAGATAGCTTGCATACAATATAAGGGAGGGGAAGAGGCATGCTCTTTAGTTTCCCCTTTTGCTCTGGTCACTTTTGGTATCTTCTGCAGATGCCATGAAGAGCTGCTCCTCAGCCATGCGACCCTGCCTTAGAGCCAGCTGAGTATGAACTGAAAACTCCAAAAACCATAATTAAAGAAAACCTTTCCTCCTTTAATTTTGAATATTGGGTATTTTGTCCCAGCAATGAGCGAAAAGTAACCAAGATGGGGTGGAACCTATCAGTGGATCTATGCACGGATGTGTTCATAGCTGCATGTACTGTTAGGAGATGGGACCTGGTTAGAGGTGGTCACTGAGGGGCATGACGTGGAAGGGTGTAGTCTTGTCCCTTGCACCTTCCATTTTTCTATTTCTCTCTTCTTCCTGACTGTCATGAAATGAGCACCTTTCCTCCACAGGCCCTCCCTTCCACCATCTGTTTCTGCCTGGAAGCCAACCAAGCATGGACTGGATCCTCTGAAGACTGCCAACCTAAGCAACTCTCTGCTCCTTTTATTTGCAGATGTCAGGTATTTTAGCAGGAGAACTACACCTGCTACACTGATTTGCCCCATTCCACACAGAAGGAATCGGGAGCACCACGGTGCTGTGTCACATGTCCAGGGCTGTCCGACTGTCCTCTGCTTATTCTCCATTCCAATCGCATCAGCCTTTCTCCTATTTCTGGATATCCATCCTCTTTCCCATTGCCTCACCTTGTGCCTGCTCTTGCCACTGCCTGGGAATGTTGTCAACCCCTGCAGGTGAGTGCTGTCACTCATTCATTTACCCAACTGGTTAACTTTTGCCCAAATGTTCCCAAGCCATTTTCTCTGGGAAGATTTGGAAATCTGTGGGTAAAACAAGTCACTCCCATCTCTATGGCCTACCTGCCCCTGGACAAGATATTCTCCGCTTTATTACACTGGGTGTCTAACTCCTTAAAATCAGAAAGCATTGCTCTTTCATGTGTTTCCTAACATTAATCAGGGGCCTGTTGATAAATGTTTGTTGAGCAGAAGCTGTATGCAGTCAGTCATTACGTTTTTCTTCTTCAGTGCTCTGTACCCAGCCACATAGGGACTGCTCAGTTGATATCTGAATGAAAAAAACTAACCAGATCATCACCTTTTAGTGAAATTAATAAGCAGAACTTATTTGTTCTGACTTCTTTGTAGGCAGCCTAAATTTGATAAGTATTGATATGTTAGGGTTAGTGAGGTTAAATATTTTTGAAACGTGAAAGTTATCTTTCATGGATTGAGAACAGGAAGGAGAAGGGAGGTAAGGGTAAGTGGCCACAGCTGCCTTGCCATGGGACATTTACCTGCTGGCCTGGTTTGATGGGGGAGAGTGTGATGCCCTGGGTGTTGATCACAGGCAGGATCTGGTTCCCGATGACTGTGGCGATGATCTGGCCCTGGGCATTTGTCAGGAGCTGGGGGGTGATAGGCTGTACTTGAAGGCCCTGAGTGCCGCTCGTTGCTTGGCTCGAAGGCCCTGGATTAGGCATCAGTGGAATGGTCCCAATAATCTGCAAGAGACAGGCACACGGTGAGGACCTGGCCTTGGTTGAGGGGCTGCCCACGCCACTGAAGACCATCTGCCCCCTGGGAGGCTCCAGGAGGCAGCTCAGGATCTCTGAAAGGGGCACGTGGAAGAAAGGGCAGGAGACGCAGAGTCAAAGAGTCCACTGGGGGAAGATGAGTGTCTTCTTTAAAGATAAAATCAAGCACTGCTAGGTACATAAGCATGCAGCACAGACCCTGCGCATCACCTATGTGAACTCACATACTCCTCGTAAGCACCCTGTTTGGTAGGTGCTGCTGAGAGGACGGAATTCTCAGCACTTCTGGCCATTGTCTACCTGGGGTGCCTAATGATTTCCCCAGAAGGGTTTTTGTACCCTGAACTCCAGTGATCCTCAACCACAGTCGATGCCTTCCATCATTCCTCCCCTGCCCTGTTGTTCCCTGACATGCTTCTCTCTCTCAAGGTGGGGGCCAGTGTATCAACACTTCCATGACATCACAGGCCTTTAGGGTCCCAGTGTTCATAGTGTCGAAAGCCCAAACTCCCAAGAGGACGGGGTTCCATTCTTATCTGTGTCACCTACGAGCCATGATACATTTGCAAGTGACCTAAGCTTTCCAAAAGCTGGACAGAATCAGGATCACAAATAAATGTTTACCAGTCTAAATTCGTGAAATAGATGGACAATGACTACTAAGGACTGTAATTAGAAAAATATAATGATTTTTTTAAACGATGGTTAAACTCAGGGCCTTCACACTGAGTTACATCTCCACCTCTTTGTAAAAAAATTTTTAAAAAACGTTGGAAATAGAGTCTTGCTATCTAGGCTGGGTGCAAATTGAGATCATTCTGCTTTTGCTTCCCAAAGTTCTGGGTTTACAGGCGTGTGTACCAGGCTTTAAATGATGCTTTCTAAACTGGTGCTTGAAGGTCCCTAGAAGCAGAGCCTGTGTGGCAGAGAGCAGGACAGTTTGTTCTCTGCATTCAGTGAGGGGAGTGCATAAATCTATTCCAGCAGGGTCCTGGCTATATCCAAGTGCTCTGATGTATTAGAGTTAGTGAAGTTAAATATTTTATAATGCAAAAGTGACTTTTCATGGAGGAGGCAGGAAGGCATCATGAATAGGACAGAGCAACAAATATCCAAGGAGACCTCACATGTTGTTAGGGACAGAATGAATCTGTAAGAACCTGAACTGTGATCTGTCTCCCAGTGCTGTGGATTCCTCCATGGAAAGTCCTGGGGAAGCTTCCTGTGTGGATGCTGTTCTTCCTATAAACACTGTAGGACAGTTACACAGCTCTGTTGCCTCCTGGATGTGAACCACAGGTCCCCCTGACTCAGGATCACCAAGGCATAGCAATCAGAAGCCTCAGGAAGACCGGTGGTGTGCATGCTCTCCTTTCCTCTGTATTCGAGCTGTGGATTGATTAGTCATTCCTCCATAGAGAGGTAAAGAAACTCCATGGAGTCACTTGAGGGAGCAGTGGTGGAAGTGACAGAACTGGAACTGAGGTCCAGGTCTGATCCCAAATGCTTGCTTTTCCATTTGCTCCCTGACTCCACCACCTGCAGACATTGGGGAGTGCCTCTCTTTGACAGCACACTGCAGCCTGGATACCTTCTCACTAGTGGAGGAGCTGCTGGGCACTGAGTTTATAAACGACATCGGTTTCCACCCCCATCAGACTCACGCAGGCCTTTGGAAAGAGTTTCTCAGTAAATGGTTCCTTTTCCACGGAAGTTTGTTGAAACCCAGGGCCTTGTACATGCTAAGCACATGCTTCACCATTGAGCTGGACCCCCAGACTAGTGAACGGTTATTAGACTTAACTGTGACTGGGAAGCCAGATGCCACTGGGACTACAGGGAGACCCCATGGCCACGCTATGTGGGGTCAGATCATGTTGGAGAAAGTCCCCTTCTCCGGAGGCTGTTGCCTCCACCACAAAAGACTCTGTGGGTTGGCCCTGATGGAGGAGCTGAGTGACTATCAGATGTCAATGGAGTCGTCATGGATTGAGATAAAGGTCAAGTGATTGCTGCAGAGTGGTCAGCTGTGCCCCAGGGAGCTGGCAGCCTGTAGTCTCCAGAGAAAGTCTGTGAGATTCATCCCAGAGCATCAGCAAGGAACATGCCTCGTCTGCACCAGCAGCTCAGGAGGGGTCCACTGGGAGAAGGAATGGGATACAAGGATTCTATCGACTAGTGATTTTGCATTAAACAGCCTGGGATTCTGAGGCCACTTCCTGTGACCCCACAGGCAATTTAAAGAAGGCCTGGGGAACAGAGCTTCGATCCGAGGCCACTTTGGTTAATTTCCTTTGCTACAGATGCATAGTGGAAGTTCAGCCTGCCTGCTCTGGCTGCCCTCGTGTCTCAGGCCTTTGCCACCTCACTGTGACTGGCCCGAACTGAAAGCCAGGTGCATCTGTGGCAGTGCTGGTGTGTTCCATTTTAGGTGGGGTGTCACTGTGTTTAGGAGTTTCTGGGAGTGAGGAGCCCCAGAGAAAGCACAGCCCATGACAGTCAGAGAGGGCACTGTGACGAAGAGAGAGGCTTCCTGCCTTGGGATGATTGACTGGAGCCTCTGGTGCTTCCCTGGTAACAAGATGTGCTTTCTGGGTGAAGAAAGAACTGGAGACACAAACAATGCCCACCAGCTTCTTTCCTCAGGACAGCCGCACGTCCTAGCACTGAGCCGTGACATTGCTAAAACACTCACCACTTCTGAGGTATGATCTAAAAATACAGTGAACATTTAAATTTTAAAAATTAATTGCAGTAAAAGACACATTACCATTATTCTTCCTCACAATCCTCCCTTTCACTTTGAACACACTCATCCCCTCATGCTTGCCATTTTCTGAAGCAGTTCTGAAAGTCTTCTTTCATGAGTGTCTTTAGTTGTGAGGTTGTGGTTACCTCAGTGTCCTGAATTGATGAAAAATGTTTCCTTTTAAAGGTGATTTTGACTTTGGGGGAAAGCCAGAAGCCACATGGAAATGGATCTGGTGAATAGGTGGATGAGGACATATAAGCCTGGCTTTCCCTTGGATGTTACTCAGCAGCAGATTTTTGATACTCAAGAAACATCTGGTAAAATCACAAAAGAAGACTTCTAGAATTGATTCAGAAAGTGTCGAGAAAGATAGGGTAAGTCTGTCAAAGCAAGGTGGGTATTTTAAGAGTGACTTAAAACAACAGGTCTTTTACTGTATTTTCTTAAACATTCACTGTATCACCCCTTGCATGTCCTCGCCAAACTCATCTCTCTTTTTTCCTAGATCTGGGCATCACTCATCAATCATAAGACACTGATGTAATCAGAGCCAGAAGACTCTGCGATGCCCTGATGGAAAGAGCCTTGTGATGCAGTGAGTTGCCCATGAGATGAAGGGCTGGGGCAGGCATGGATCTGAAGTTAGGGGGCCTTTTGTGAAGTTGTGCATTTCACCTTTTTGCTCCTCTTTCAGGGGCACTGGGACCACCATCTCAGCTTGTCTAAAATGTGTGTTGTGGAGAACTTTGGCATTTTCTCTAAAGGGTGTCATAATATGCTGGTTTTAACTTGCTCCCTTTTGTTGAAGGGTAGAGATGACTGCACATTGGATTGTCTAAAGAATCTCTGATGAGCCTGTTTTGCTTATGATGGCTCCAAGTTCCCTTAGCAATTCCACACAGCCAGTTGGGACTCCCACTCTCGCTTCCTGGAGATCAGAGCAAGGAGCTGAGAAGGGCTGAGGTACAGAAGTCTAGACCTTCTACACTCATAAAGTTGTCCATCTTAACATTTTAGGTCATATTTCAAACTGGCCTTAGATTCAAGGGAAGTATTTGCATCTACACAAATTTCAATTAAATCAGGGAATTAAAACTTGAGGTTTGACGAAGCCATAGGGGATTCCTGGAAAATGTAGAAGAGGATACTTTGAGACATTTATGGTCTTAAAGTTAGATTTTGGAGGACTTGACTACCCATTTCCCTCAAATCCTATGAGTTTACTACCCGCAGAAGTCCCCATAGAAGATTGTGTTGCTGAACACAGGATAACGAGGGTCTGATCCTGCTTAAGCCATTCAGTGTTTGAAAGTAATTCATGGATTCCTAAAGCATGAAAGACTCTGGTAGTGCAACTGAATACCTGGAGAGCCTTCTTTCTAGAAGCATAGGATCATGTGACATGCAGATGCCAAGGAGATATGGTGGGACAGGGCAGGGGTGATAAGGCACTAATGCAAACTTCAAGGGAAGAAATGAAAAGCATTCTATGAGTGGGCAAAGACAACTCAGAAACATCTCTAGACCTACACAGTGGCTGCTCAAAAGAATACTTGGAAGGAAGGGGCTACTTCAGAGGAAGAAAGGTGGGGATGGTTCAGGAGGAATCTCAGAAGGCATGGGGTTTAAATGGTGTCTTGGAGATTGGGCAAAGCAGTAAGACTTAATGAGGCACTAGTCATAAAGTGGGAGACACAGAGGATGGTGAGTGGACCAGCTTGGATGCAAGAGGAGGTTGAGTCAGGCCACAGGATCCATCCATCCAGGGGGCATGGGTCATGGGTTTTGCTGGAAGCTAGAGAGGAGGACTGGCAAAGCTACTGCAGGTGTGACTGGGACAGCATGGACAGAACAGACCAATGCAGCCACAGAGCATGAGAGCTGGGATGCTATTGTCATCGTTCAAGTGTGAAGCAAAATGCCTCAGTGAATCCTTGGCACTTGATTCTTTTGCTTCCGTTTTGAGTCAAAAAGTACATCCTGCTCAAAGCCCAGCTTGCAACATTAGAAGTTTTGGAGTGAAGTTATTACCCCATCAATCCTACAGCAAATGGCTCAGACATCGTTTGCAATGATCTTCTATGTCATTGTCCTGACCATCTTCCCATCATAGTTCATCTTTGATGAATGTCTGCCCCGGGCCGAGGTCCATTCCTGATTCTAATGATAATTTGTGACCTGCAAGAGTTCTGGCTTCTCTTGACAGGTGACTTAT